GGGGCTTTCTGGCAGCAACTTGAAGCAGCTCACAGGAAAATACCAAATAATATCAATTATTTTCAACAGATAATTCAGTAAAGCAAACAAATCACATGTATCCTGGGCTGGTCTTGAAAGATGACACTCCTAAGCCAGGCCTCATTCTCCAGGCTTTAGATAAAGAGCCAAGGACCAAGAGCCCTTTGGCTCATGTCACTGACTCCACTCAGGCTTTTAATATTGGTAAAAAGAGGATAGGAAACACAGGGCTTTTCCTCATGAGTTTTCCCTATCAGTTCTGGCCCCATACTACTTCAGTATATCCCATGATTTTCGCATGCGTTTTTGTGTCTTTAGTTTTCGCTCCCCCCATCCCCCCCCCGTTCTTTGAGAGTATTTTTACCCCAGTCTTTTTCTGGAAACTGATTTGGAGTTGCCTTTTTCCTTGTGTGTAATGTTTCTGTCAGTTCTGTCACTTTTCTTTGTCCAACCTACTCCCCCCATCTCTAGCCCACTTTCGATGAGTGGACTGTTGTTATCATTGAACCACTCCCTCTCCCCACACCCGAAGACAAGTGGTTTTGTTTTAGGATTTGTTTTAAGGCACTAAAATATTAATATATTGATATAACAGTATAAGGAGAGGTTTAGCAGGTCCTCTGAATTCCGAGCTTTCACTTAAAAATTAAGTCTCTATCTCCTTCCCTTGTGAAGATACAAGGGAAAAGGCATATATCTGAAAAGGAAGGGGCTAGCTACTTACTTCTTCCATTATCAGATGAGATCCTTTTTATTATGTACAAAAGATCCCTCCCATATCGGAAGTTGCCATCCAGTTTTATTAGAGCATGGACCTGATTTGACCGTCAGATTTCTTCAGCCATTGTACTGTGGGGATGCAAAACAGTGTGGCTTTGAAACAATAAATAAGACATTGAGAGCAGGCTGTCTGTCCTCTATTTTCCACTCATTTGTTCCAGAAATGCAAACCTGTGCCTTGTCCTGGAACATTTCCCCCACTGTTGCTACTTGTAAACTTCTTTTTGTATGGTGTTTCCAAGAGGGAAGTAAAACAGTGAAACAAACAAGGTCTGACTCTTCATTTGAGGGTACTTCACTGAAATGTACAGTGGGAATACTTCTCCGTGGTAGCAAAAGTCCAAATGGAGTACATAGTCAGCATCCAGGGACTCCTTATGGTTCTTAAGCTCTGAAATACAGTTGGGGTGTGCGTGTGTTTAGCATGCTAAAACATAGGACATTGAAGTCTGTGCCTAATTAGCTAACAAGCCCTTATTGCAACTTTTGCTTTCCTCAAGGAGGTGTTGTGCTTTTCTTTTCCAGGTTATTATTTACCAGGGGGGTCAGATTTTTGACGGTGCACCCCAGTTCTATGGGCGAGTGGGGTTTGCAATGACAATGCCAACCACCAGTGCCTCCATCTTCATCAACAACACCCAACTCTCGGACACCGGAACTTACCAGTGTTTGGTCAACAACCTACCAGACCGAGGTGGCCGGAATATTGGAGTCATTGGACTCAATGTCTTGGGTATGTGCTTTGCATGGGGGACGGCTTATGGCAGATGAGTGTCAAAGGGCACAGAGTATCCTGTGCATAGGTATTCTAGATAAAAATGAATAGATCTGACCAGGACATTGTCAGGAAGTTTGATCTCTGATTTAGCATGAAAATTGCTGTCATAGGAGGATCTCGTATAGATTGGAGATGTGGCACTGGGAAAGAGGTAGTAGCTGATTCTTCTTCCCTCCTTGCCATTTCTCCAATTGAAAATGCCCTCCAACCATCCCCTAGCTGTTTAAGTCCACATGGCTGTGGGGAAGACATTTAGTATTTGGATAAGAAGAAGAGATTGGATTTATACCCTGCCTTTCACTACCTGAAGGAGTCTCAGAGAGGCTTACAATCTCCTTTCCCTTCCCCTCCCCACAACAGACACTCTGTGAGGTCGGTGAGGCTGAGTTCTTTGAGAACTGCTCTTGAGAGAACAGCTTTGAAATAACTTGTGACTGACCCAAGGACAGTCCATATACCTTGATTGCTAGACAGGCCTCATATGGGAGACCATTTTATTTCTCTTCCTTGCAACTTGGGCTATACCTGTGTGACAACACAGAGCAAACCATGGGAGAGATGGGACATAATGCTGGGTTGTAGGAGTCCCCAAGTAGCTTCAGTAGAAGGCAAGAATAAAAATTAGACAAGCCACAAATGGGGTATGCTCCACCTTTCCCTATGCTGTAGCAATCTTTGGAAAGGATTTCCCCACCACCACCACCACCATAGTGCTACACTGACAAGAACAGTTGTACCTTACAGACTTTTTTGTCCTGTGCCAGTTGTGCAGGTACAGAAGCTATGTGGACCATCCATCATCTGGCAAGCACTTTGCTTCAAGGCTCACAATCTGGCGCCTTCCAAAGTTTGCTTGCCTGCCCACTAACATCTTCCCCCAAGTAGCTTCAGTAGAAGGCAAGAATTAAAATTAGACAAGCCACAAATGGGTTATGCTCCACCTTTCCCCATGCTGTAGCAATCTTTGGAAAGGATTTTCCCCCCACCATAGTGCTACACTGACAAGAATAGTTGTACCTTACAGACTTTTTTGTCCTGTGCCAGTTGTGCAGGTCTTCTCAGTATGTGGACCATCCATCATCTGGCAAGCACTTTGCTTCAAGGCTCACAATCTGGCGCCTTCCAAAGTTTGCTTGCCTGACCACTAACTTCTTCCCTCGAGCTTGCTGCCCTTCCTCTTCTTAGGTCTTAAATAAGGTCTTCCAGCCTCATTTTCTTCTTCTTGTGATACTTTGTCTTCAGCTCCAGACTTCCATCAGCCATTGGAGTATTATACCCATATCCTTCAGCTCCACTGAGCATGATTTGAAGGTCTCCTCTGGCCTAAAGAGCCTTGGTCCAACTTAAGTTGCTCTTCCATTGACAGAAGAGTCTCTTAGGCTGAAGGAAACCTCCTTAGGCTGGATGAAGGTTACTTGGAAGATGGTTGGACCCACCCCATTATTTCCTCAGTTTTTTCTTTTTTTCTTAGGCCTCTGTCTTTACTGTTCCCTCTGTTGTTCATTGCCTAGTCTGAACCCTTCCTTCTGCTTCCTTGCCTCTGGATTTATGTTCCTTAACCTCTCTTGCAATTTTTGACCATTGAGCATTCTTGCCCTCAGTGTCTAGTCCTGCCCATGACATTTTCCCCTACCATTCAACCTTCATTCCCACCACCACCCCCAGCTAAACTTAATATTTGCTTCCCTTGCACAAGTACACATTGCTTCCCAGCAAATATTCTGCCCTGGGTTTCATTTACTCACCATTTAGAATGCTTGTGAACGTTCTATGGCATTGTAGAAGCTCATTCTGGGATTTACTGCCTTTAGCAGTTTACAATTTGGATGGCTGTAATAACAGATTTGTAGAAATATAGGTGTGTGTGTGTGTAATGGTATAGTGTAGCCTGATCTCACCAGATCTTGGAAGCTAAATGGGGTGAATGAATGAAAGGAAGAATCTTCAGAGGAAGGCAATGGAAAGCCACCTCTGCTTCTCACTTGCTTGAAAAGCCCTTGGTGGAGTCATCATAAGTTATCTGTGTCTTGACAGCACAAATGTAGATATGTAGGGGAGTTGGATTCCAGGGAAGCTGAATGGTAGAGTATCTTTGCAGAAAAGGAGTGTATAAAAAAGAAAACAAGGGAATGTAGCTATGTATGGTCCATTCTCATCTCTATGGGGTTTTTTTTTGTATTTGATGGATCCAAGGGCATAATACCTACCAGTCAGCAGTGCTGTCTTCTTGCATAGGAACCGATGTTGAACTTCCCATCCTTATTTGAATACCAGAATTTGGCTTGAAGCTAAAAGTTTTAGTGATATCTTTATTACATTAACTAGTGGGGAGCTGCAGATGTTGTTCTTCCCCGCAGAGGACTCGAATGGAAAATGGCCACACTTAAGTCAGCAGTTACGACTCAGGTTGCTTACTAGTGAGGCAGGCCTGAGCAGGTGACCTTGCCTGTTGCTTCCCCCTGAGTTTGGAGCCATCTGCAGATTTCCTCTCTTAGCCTATTTCTTCATTTGTTTAACTGTCTGTCTTCTGGAACAGCAGTTACTGAACACAGCTCCTGACTTGGCCATCCCTTCCCCCTCTTCTCTGATTGCAGTTCCTCCCTCTGCCCCGGTCTGCAGAATTCAGGGCTCTTTGAACATTGGCAGTGACATCACACTGACCTGCAACTCCGAAGAGGGCATCCCTCGGCCAACATACTACTGGGAAAGACTGGACAACACTCCCAAGCTGCCTCCAACAGCAACACAAGGTGACTGTTCCACTCTCTCCATCCCCCCCTTCCTGGTAATTTTATTTTTGCTATGCTTACTAGGGGGAACAGGCTGTAGCTCTATGGTAGGGTACCTGCTTTGCGTGAGGAAAAGCCCCAGGATCAATTCCTGGAAACCCTAGTTAAAGAATATCAGGTAGCCAGAGTGGGCAAATTTTATCTCCATCAGACATCTATTTATTTATTAGATTTATATCCTGCCCTCCCCAAATGGGCTCAGGGCGGCTAACAACAGAGGCAAATGCCATAACAAACAATTAAAACAGCATAAAAACAATCAATAAACAAAGTGCGGTGCTCTTGATGTTATATCATATTACTCCAAGATGGGTTCCATTTATCAACCTAGCCTGACAACGTAAGATCTTCGGTCATCTAGGCATCTTCCCAGGGTTGGCTTACTTATAGGTCTAATCCACCGTCGAAGATGGCAACTCGGTGGTGGCACAATGGCAGCGGCGGCTCCTATGCAAAGGCCTGGCAGAAGAGCTCCGTCTTACAGGCCCTGCAGAACTGTGCCAAGTCCCACAGGGCCCGGATCTTCTCTGGGAGCTCGTTCCACCAGACAGGAGCCGCCGCCGAGAAAGCCCTGGCCCTGGTTGCGGCCAACTTGATGTCCTTGGGGCCTGGAACCACCAATAGGTGCTGCACCCCAACCGTAGTGTTCTTGGGGGAACATATGAGGAAAGGCGGTACCTTAGGTACGCTGGACCCTGGCCATCAAGGGCTTTATAGGTAAGAACCAGTACTTTGAAGTTAATCCGGTACGCTATAGGCAGCCAATGCAGCGCCTTCAGCACAGGCTGGATGTGGTCCCATCTAGTGAGACCCATCAACAGCCTGGCCGCCGCATTCTGCACCAGCTGCAGCTTCCCGATTTGTGACAAAGGTAGACCCATGTAGAGAGTGTTACAGTAGTCCAACCTTGAGGTGACCATCGCATGGATCACTGTGGCCAAGTCTTCGCGGACAAGGAAAGGAACCAACTGCCGTGCCAGCCGAAGATGGTAAAAGGCTGACTTGGCAGTGGCTGCCATCTGGGCCTCCATCGATAAGGAGGAGTCCAGGAGCACTCCCAAACTCCTAACTCTGGACACCGGCACATATGGTACCCCATCGAAGGCCGGGAGAGGGAGCCCTAACTCCGAACTTAGGCCCAGGACCTCCATCTTCACCGTGTTTAACTTCAGCCGACTCAGTCTGAGCCAACCAGCCACAGCTTGTAATGCCCAATGAAGGTCATCTGGGTCAGAGTTTGACCGGCTGCCCAGATAAAGCTGGGTGTCATCCGCATATTGATGACACCCAAGACCCACACTCAAGAAGATGCCTCTGGGACTGCTGTTCCCCTATCGCCACCCTTTGTCCCCGACCTTGCAGGAACGTGGCAAACCATTGAAGGGCAAGGCGGTGGGCCAGCAGCTGGTGGTCAACCGTAACAAAAGCGGCCGACAGATCTAACAACAGCAATGCCGTCACACCACCTCAATCCAGATGCCTACGGAGGTCGTCAGTCAGGGCGACCAATGCCATCTCCATCCCATGACCTGGGCGAAAACCGGACTGGAATGGATCTAAGACTGAAGCATTGTCCAGAAAGCCTTGTAGCTGTGATGCCACAGCCCTCTCTATAAGGGGCCAAATAGGGCAAATTGGACACCGGCCGATAGTTGGCCAATTCAGTCGAGTTCAAAGATGACTTTTTCAGGAGGGGTGGACCATCGCCTCCTTGAGTGCTCCGGGGAACCGTCCCTCCAAAGGGGACTTGTTGATAATCTCCCGCAGGGCACCTCGAAACCCCTCGTGGCCCACCTTAACGAGCCAGGAAGGGCACGGATCAAGGTCGCATGTGGTTGGGCACATAGATACGAGCAGTCTGTCAACTTCGTCCAGGCTGAGTGGGCTAAAACATTCCAAACACGGAACCGAAGGCGTGCAAGGGGCCTCAAGTTCGCTCACTGTCTCAATTGTGGCAGGGAGGTTGTGGTGGAGCGCCAAGACTTTATCTGCAAAATAGCTCGCAAAAGCCTCACAGCCAATGTCCAATTCCCTATCATTTCGCCTGCCCTTGGGCAGGTCTGTCAAAGACCAAATCGTACTAAATAATTGGGCTGGGCGTGAGCTAGCAGATGCAATCGAGGCCACATAGAAATCTTTCTTCGCGGCCTTCACTGCAATCTCATAGGCTCTCATAAGCGTCCTATAGGATGTTCTTGACGTTTCATCGCGAGCACGCCGCCTCCGTCTCTCTAGTCATCTCAGCCCTTGTTTCAGCTGCTGCACCTCCTGGGTATACCAGGGAGCACGCCTAGAACGAGTGCGGAGAGGATGCCTGGGAGTGATCTCGTCGGTGGCAGTGGAGAGCTGAACATGCCAGTCCTCCACTAGCTCATCTAATGAGCCGCCAGGGGGCCTTGGATCCCGCATCACCATCTGGAGCCGCAACGAGTCCATTTGACTCAAAACAGGGTCGGGGGGGGACATTCAGACGGGCCCTCAGGGCATGGTGATCCGACCATGGCACTGCCGAAACAGTGATCCGGTCCACCGTCACTCCCGCCGCAAAGATCAAATCGAGCGTGTGACCGGCCCGATGCGTGGGAGCCGAGACGAATTGAGAGAGTTCCAGTGCCGCCATGGACAACACTAGGTCCACAGCCCAGCTGGAGGTCGCGTCCTCAGCATGGACGTTGAAGTCACCCAAGACAAGCAGCCTAGGGTGCTCCAGCGCCCAGCCTGATACGGCCTCCAGCAGGGATGGCAGACAATTGGCTGGTGTGTTATGTGGTCGGTACACCAACCAAATAGCCAAACTCTCCTCAGCCTCCAGCATCGCGCTGACACACTCTATGCCTGCGATCTCTACCTGCGGAAGCGCCCTGAAGGAGTAAGCCTCCTGAATGAAAAGTGCCACTCCTCCCCCTGCCCCCTAGTCTGTGATTGGTAAAGGACCGAGTAACCCGGCGGGGTCATTTGGGCGAGAGCCACTGTCTCTCCCTCCCTCGCCCAGGTCTCCGTCACGCATGCCAGGTCCGCCTGTTGTTCAATCACAAAATCCCGAAGGATTGAGGTTTTGTTGTTGATGGACCTGGCGTTGCACAATACCAATGACGGAGGGGGGTTATGAATCCTGGCCCCACTGCCAGCTACCCTTGGGATGGGTCATAGGCTGGAAGGGCGCCAAGCCATTCTATATCTAGAAAAACCACTACCAGTTAAAGCAGTTGGTACTGAGTTAGAGGGACCAGTGGTCTAATTGGGCATCGGGTGACTTTATCTGTTCTGCAAATACTGAGCTCATCTCCACACTGCTGCCAGGATGGATGGAAAAAGATGAAGAAGAGATTGGATTTATACCCCACCCTTCACTACCCAAAGGAGTCTCAGAGTGGCTTACAATCCCTTTCCTTTCCGCTCCCTGCAACCGACACCCTGTGAGGTAGGTAGGGCTGAGAGAGTCCTCTCGAGAACTGCTCTTGAGAGAACAGCTCTGAGAGATCTTGTGACTTACCCAAGGTCACACCAGCAGCTGCATGTGGAAGAGTGGGGAATCAAACCTGGTTCTCCCAGATTAGAGTCTATGCTCCTAACCACTACACCAAACTGGCTCTCACAGTGGAGACACCTTAGGATGGAGACACCTTAATCCTAATGATGGGGTCAGGGAGGGGAGGAAGACATTAAATATTGTCTTGATAAATGCAAACAAACTAAATAAAATATAGATCAAGATGGGTAGCCATGTTAGTCTGTCCGTAGCAGCAGAAAAGAGCAAGAGTCCAGTAGCACCTTAAAGGCTAAGAAAATATGTGGCAGGGTATGAGCATTCATGAGTCACTGTATCTGAAGAAGTGAGCAGTGACTCACGAAAGCTCATACCCTGCCACGTATTCTGTTAGTCTTTAAAGTGCTACTGGACTCTTGTTCTTTTCTAAATAAAATAACGTTGCCATTCATGCATTTGAGCCTACAGGGTATAAGGTGCCCTCTAGTGGTCCTTCTGATTATAGTGTATTAAAAAATCCCCTCAGAGCACTGGTGGCTAACCCTTTTGGGCCAAGCCAGGTCGGAAGTCTGACATTTTAGAGTGCATCATGGTAGAACTGCTATGTAGTTTTACCACTAGATTGCAGGATCAGGGTAGAGGCAGCAGTGAGGAGCAGGACAGGCAGGTAGCTATGCAGATCTGATTCTCTGCCATCGTTTGGTCTGTGGGACTCAGATGTGCCATGGACTCTGGCAGTTTGTGCTGCACATGGTTCTCTTTCTCTAGAGATACGTTTTCCATGTCCTGCAGGGATCCAAATTGACTGACAAAATAAATATTCCAGAGGGGTAGCCATGTTGCTCTGTTGAAGCAAAACAAAACACAAGTCCGGTGGCACTTTAAAGCCTGTGTGTGTATGTGTGTTCTGGGCCATCAAGTCACTTCCAACTTATGGTATCCCTATGAATGACCTCCAAAACATCCTGTTGTTAACAGCCTTGCTCAGGCCTTGCAAACGGAGGGCCAGCAACATTATTCCAGTGTGAGCTTTCATGAGTCAGAACTCACTTCGTCAGATGCTATGGAAAGAAAGAAAATCATTTTCCTTGTGTTTATCTAGAGAATTACAAAAAAGGGGGAAAGGGGAGGAGTTGAGAAAAGACAGGCCTGATATTATAAATCAGATGTGATTCCCTGTGTCAGGGACTTGAATAGCTTAGGTTGTTATACATAATGGATGAGGAGAAAGGTCAGACGTTCTAGCTACTGATGTGGTGAAGATAAACAAAAGTGGAATACAGTAGGACAAATAACAGAGTAATTAAGGAAGAAGACATCTGAAGCAGTCTGAAGTATATACATCTCTCATCTTGGCTGCTGATGCCACTGGAGTCCCCAAGGGAGGACTAGTTCATGGATTCTGGAAGTGACTTGCAAAGTGGATTAAGTGAATTTCATCCTGTGATGAATGCACCAGCATTCCCAAGAATACAGCAAGGCCAGATATTTTCTATGGCAGCAATTTCTGAGAGCTCATCAGGAATTGTAGGTTTGCCATGCCCCCCCTGGAGGAGGGGATCCCCAACTCTAGCCCCCCCCCAGCACCAATCAGCTGGCTGTATGGAGATTTACCGGCAGCAAAAGGAGGCCTAGGGCTGTGTCACTGGCAATGCAGTGATGTGACATCACTGGAAGTGACTAGGGATGGGCATGAATTGGCTCACAGACTAAAGTTCTGCATGAATTTTGCACGGTTCGTGGTTCGCCAAGCAATGTTTGTGGAAGGGCCAACAGCACGAACATTCCACAAACATTGGTGCTGCACATTCTGCTCTATGGGATCAGAAGGCTATTTATCAGCTCAACTCTGCAGTGTCTCCTCTGCTGGCTGTTGGCAGTTAGACAGAGAGGCAGGGAACTTGTTAAAAGCAGACTAGCACAGATCAGGGGAAGGAGGCGCCAAGGGCCCTGGTGATGCCCTGGACTCCAGTGGCCTGGCAGGATGGGTTTAGGGCCCAGGGATGGGGGCCTGTGGTACGCAGGGGGTGGAGGACTTCTTGCCCCCACAACAAACACCCTTTTATCCACTTTCATCCTCATGGCACACAGAGGTGTTCAGGAATTTGAAGCAAGCAGAGGACTGGCTTTTAACACTTCATAATGCATAAACTATTTTTGTAGTACTGGGAGCAATCCTGAGGGTTTGCTTCAAAAGCCACTCCTCTGCTTCCCTTGCTTGTTTTGTGTGGCTAGGGTGCCTGCCAAGTTCTCATGGAGTTACTTTGGGGGAGCCCTTATCTAAACTCTGGGGGATGTCTGCCTTTCTGTCCTTCAAAACCTGCCTTTGGAGACTTGGGGGGGGGGCTGCAAGCCTAGAGGGATGCTTGCCTTACTTCCAGTTACTTCCAGGGAGGGGTTCTGCTCATGTGAAGTTTCCCTGTGCATTTGGTGTCACTGGCTTGTTCCTGAGCCATTTCACAGACTCCTGTAACTGCAGCTGTCTTTTCCAGCGAAAGCACTGGGGAGACCTTGGGGGGTGGGGTCTGTAACTGGGACCCCAGAAATGTAATCTGCACCCAACTTGGAGAGATTGTAGAGGAGTGGGTGCCAGGGTGGTTCCTTGTGTGTTTGGTGTGTGTAGCTTGCATTCTATACACTTTTGAACCCGTGCCTGACATTTTTCCTCGGGACATCTTATTTGGTGGGCCATAATTTGGACCCCCAAAATTCAATCTGCACGTAACTTGGAAGGCATGTAGAAGAGAATCCGTGGGAGGTCCCTTCTGAGTTTGATGCCTCTAGCTTGCACTGGGTCTGTTCTATATAATCCTGAACCTCCTGAACCTGCACCTGTCATTTTCCCAGAAAGCAATTTCCTGGGAGCACCTTCGGGGGGGGGGGGGCTGTAACTTGGACCATTAAGTCAAATTCTCATCAAATGTGGAGTGAAGGTAGAGGAGAGTCAGCCGGAGATCTCCTGCAAATTTGATGCCTCTAGCATGCTGGAGGTGCTTTCTACCATATCACAAACTGAACTGGTCCATCTATCAAAAAGTTCATGACGGTCTGTGGTTCACAAACCAAGCATGCCACAAAACTGAATTGAATACATTTTCTCAGTTTGTGCCCATCCATAGAAGTGACCAGCACCATAAGGACACCTTGGATTTTGGGCAAAAATTCTATGGTAAATATGACTTCTACTAAAAACCACAGCATCCCCACATCACTGGCAATGTTACTTCTGGTGGTGGTGGGTGGTGAGGTAAAATGTTGGCCTCTATTTGAAAAATCTGGATTTGAAAAGATCTGTGGTGAAGCTGTTCCTTACTGAGGGGGCCCAAGCACAGCCTACATTTACTCCTTGTTAAAATTACAGTTAGATTGTTGATGCCCTTGCCAGTTTGCCGGCCTTGTTTTCTCAGTCCTAAGCTTTCACATGCATGAAAAAAATAATCTTTAAGAAGAAAATGTCCACCGTAAGCTCCTTAAATCATCTTATCTGTGTTGGATGTTTTTTATATGAAGGATGTTCTCTATGTTGTCTCTTCAGAGTCTTGTAGCAGAATTTACAATGTGCTGGATATGTCTTTTTAAAGTCATGGTGGGCTGGTGGCCATTTCTTTTTCTTCATAATTTGAGAACTTTTCCTTCCTTTTCATCTAGACCAAGTTCAGGGTACAGTCATTCTGCGCAATATCAGCACCATGTCATCAGGGCGTTACCAGTGCGTGGCTTCTAACGTCATTGGAAGCAGCACCTGTTTTCTGGAAGTTCAAGTGATTACACGTAAGTCCGTTTCAGTGACAGGCACTGGCTTGGTCTGGATATTGCACAAAACCATAGTTTAACTAAGCTAACCCTGATTGGTGTGGTTGAATACAGGCCACTCCATTATCTGTGGCTGCTTTGCATTCATCAAACCAGTATCTGAAGCTGAGATCTAAGTGGGGGTCTATTAACCACAGTTAGCTTTAACTATGATTTCACATAATGTCTGAATGCAGGAATCCTAGTTTAGTCTTGGATTGTTCTCTAAAGATACCCTCCCAAGGCAACAGAGGCAAGGTAAAGAAACTAGTATTTGTAGAGGCAAACCAGGATCTGAGTGATACTTTGGGAGCTGAATTCTGGTTTCACAAACTAACTGTAAATATACTAAGCAATGGTTATGTGTGACCCCTGAAGCAAGGCCTTGTTCCATTAAATAATTTCTGCATCTATTTCTCAATGTCTACCAGATATGAATGCACAAACAGGATGCAGGGAAAGCATTATTGCTTTCTGCTGAAGCTGTAGGGCCCCGTTCTCACTGGGGGGAAAGGTGCAGCTGAAGTGCGGCTTTTTTGAGCCGCATCAAAAGAGACACGCGGCGGCGGGATCAGACAGATCCCCCGAGCCGCCACACAGTTGCTCCCCGGCACGATCAGATGCCGGGGGGAAGCCACAAATCGGTGAGCAAGGCAGCCCGCTGTGCATGTGCATGCCTGTGCAGTTTGGCCGGGGGGGCTTGCATGCTGCCGGAGACGGGTGCGCCGGCGATCACACGGCCACCCCTGCTGCGGATTTTCAGGTAAGTAATAGTGTTTTGTAGGTTTTTTTCTGATCCACATCTTCGGCCAGAAGAGACGGATCGGGGACGGGTGCACGCCACTTCCCAGATATTGCGGTGTGATCGCACCCACTTGATTGACCCTCTCGCGGATCAAAGCCTCCCATGTGACCGAGGCCTAGGTTGTCCAATTGCTGACTTATTTATTCATTGCACAATCATAGGGAAGTTGAGTCACTTGCTCAGGAAAAGATTAGGCATGATTGTTGTTACGAATTGCTAAAAACAGCCATACATGGATAAGGGATTCAGGTGCTTGCTATTTCCCCCCAATGGGCCAAGTAACTCTCAGGTTTGGGTGATCTAAATCAGGAATCCCTTGTGCAGTGGGGTGAGGGTAAATATCCCACATGCTGTGACTCCACTCCAGATTGCCTCCTTCCCTGGTACTATTTTAGCCTTTTAAAAACATGGTGGATGTTCTTGATCACAGACCTCATGAGTGGGAGCTCTTGATCTCTGTTAGATGTGTTGTCTGGACATTTGTGGATCTTGTAAAATTTACAAGCACCCAGATACCTCCTCCTATTTTTACTACAGTGAGATCTTCGAGTCTTTGTTCTGATGTGACACTACGCACAGGAATATAAGAAGTGCATCTTCTTTAGTAATGTTAAACTCTGCTCCATGTGTTTCTACATCCATTCAGATGTAAGCCTGTTGCCTCCAAAAAAAAAGAAGGCACTAAATGGTGGAGACAATTTAGGGAGCAATCCTAAGCAGGCCGACTCTGAAGTTAGTCCCATTTTAATGGGGTTTGCCCCAGCAAATGGGGTGCTGCACTGTCAGGGTTGGAACAGGCCATAAAGCAAGAGAGTGGATAGTTTATCAATGATATTAGGGATGGGCAGAACTACTATAAAAGGTTTTGGAAGGCAGCATTTGGGAAGGGAAACAGGAGCTTCTGTAATAGGTTCTGCAGAATAAGACTGCATTTGAAAAGCTGTCATGTTTGATTTGAATATCCTCATTTCAATTTTCTTTCTACAAAATAAACCTGAATCCTTATTTTGCACCACTTTCTCTTTCCTTGTGTCAATTTTGTCCAGTTCGGGTTAACATATTTCTCAGTGGGCTTTTTTGCACACCATATTTTCTTGGCAGTCTATCCACAAGGAGTATAAATGGTTTGGGTTTGGTTCTTCTGCATGCCTGCCCTCCCTCTGCATTTTCACAGTTGTAGAGTGGTTTTATTTTCTTCTGCCCATGCCTTAAATAATCAGGATTTTCAAGGGAGTCTGCTGATGTCATTGGTGGTATCATAACACCCGCACATTTTAATTTTGTGTGTGTGTGCTTATATTGATGTATCATTGTAATGATAGGCCAAGCATGTTCTCTGATTTCCCAGCTTTCATTTTTTTTTTTTAGCGTAAGTTTTCAATTCCTTCCATCATGGAGTTGTCTGGAAAAGACATATCACTGAAGGGGGGGAGGGGGACTAGAGATTTACTTTTGACTTTTTTTCTTCTTTAAAATATAATAGTATAGGCTTGCCAAGTCCCCCCGGGGGTGGGGAAAACCCCGCCCCAGAGGCCCGTTCCCTGCCGGCAGTGGATCGGGCCCCGGGGGAACCCCACCCCCACGTGCACGTCACCAGGAAGTGACGTGACGCCGCTGGGCACGCTGGCAGCTGGTCCACGACCATCCGAGGGAAAACTCTATGGTTTTCTATGGTTTATGCTCAAGCCGCAAGCCGGGAGTCCCCTGCTGCGGCGATTTTTTCACTTAGCAACCCTATAATAGTACTATATGAGTAGTATTCTAAAAATTAACTTTCCTCAAGTCTAGGCGTCTGCTCAACAATAATAATCAAAATAAAACGTAAAACACTAATTAATAACTATAAACAAGAGTTCAAATATTAGAAAGGAATATGTCACAAAGTATGACCCTTTATTATTATTTAACTAAATTCCCCACTAAAAAGTGGTTCAGGTTTGTTGCTCCCTGCTTAACCAGCAGGGCAAAGGGTGTAGTATCTTTTTTTACACCCTAGCAATCAACCTAATTTAACAAAAATAAAAATAAAATAATGGGGGGCCACTGGTGAAATATAGAATAGTAAAACAAAAATCCCATTCCCCCCTCTCAGCCACTGTTATAATTGTATAGGTTCTGTGACTGAGTATTTAACTCAAGTTGTTAATGGATCCCTGAGTTAATAAATACCAAATGTAATATTTCAACAATGAAGTTAAAAATAAAGCAATTCAACAGTATAACAGTAATGAAATATTCTATAGAATATAATAATCATGATTATCTTTTTGCCAAATAATGAAATACATCTTTTGGTTGAAATTTTTTAAAGCTATGTGGCCCATAAATGAGATTTTTGATTAATCTTCAGATTCCTGTTGCATTGATAATATGTAATTGGTGTTGGAATACAAGAAATAACTATTAAACTTTTCAATCACACAGCACATAAATTAGATTTTTGATTAGCATTTAAATTCATGTTTTACTTTACTTTACAATTCGATTTATATACCGCCCTTGACCCCTAGGGGTAGTAATAATATTATATTTCAACAATAACATTTTTAACTATGTTCTAAAAAACTATAGTTTTTGGCTAACAATTAAAATCCTGTTGTGTTGGTAATAGTAGGCCTTAACTAAAACATTTTCTTATTTGTAGAGACTTACTTTAAAAAAAATGAAAGCTGGGAATTCAGAGAGACTGCTTGACTTGTCATTACAATGATATATCAATATATCACTATTTTTGCCTTTTTAAAACGTCAAAAATGAAACCACTCATCTTCAGGGTGGGTGGGGGGAGAGAGAGTGGTTTCATGATGACAACAGACCAGTCATCAAAAATTGGGATGGAGGTTGGTGGGGAAAAGTCAACTCCAAATCAGCTTCCAGAAAATGATTAAGGTAAGAGTGGTCTCAAAAGTACCAGGAAAAAACTGCACCACTCCCAAAACAGAAGGAAAAACTAAAAGCACAAAAATGTGTGTGGAAATCAGGGGATAAGCTGAAGTAGTATAGGGCCAGAACCAATGGGGGGGGGAATGGGGGAAAGCCCAGTGTTATTTTGACATTACTTTATAAATGCCACATATCAGGCACATAATGTATTGAAGGCATTAAATAAAATCAAAAAGAATAACAACAGCAGGAAAATAACCATGATTGTATATGAAATCCAAGAGTTACACAATTGGCCTTTCTTCCTCTCAGCAAGGAAGAAATGTCTACTCAGAACATGAAATGTGGCAGTTCAGAGTAGTCCAAGGAGAACTCCTTTTTGGCAAAGGGTCATTTTACCATCCCATCACCATGCCCATGCTTCTTCATGTTTAGCCTTTTGAAGCAAACCTGTAGTGAAGGGGAGAGCCAATTTGGTGTAGTGGTTAAGTGTGCGGACTCTGATCTGGGAGAACGGGGTTTGATTCCCCACTCCTCCACTTGCACTTGCTGATGTGACCTTGGGTCAGTCACAAGGTCTGGCACAGCTGTCCTTGAAAAAGAGCCGTTTGTGTCAGAGTTCTCTCAGCCCCACCCACCTCACAGGGTGTCTGTTGTGGGGAGGGGAAGGGAAAGGAGTTTGTAAGCCGCTCTGAGACTCCAAGTGAAGGGTGGGGTATAAATCCAATCTCCTCCTCCTCCTCCTCCTCCTCCCTCCTCCTCCTCCTCCTCCTCCTCCTTTCCCTTCTGCCAGAATTCCAGAGCAGGTGTCGGCTAGTTGCGCCATGGGGTTGTGGTGTTCTCCCTGCTCCTCCCTCTCCTGCTGGAATGTGCTTCAGGTTTCTTCCTGTTATCTCTGCTGTGGCCTTGGAGACTTGCTCGACTGTACCACTGTTTCCCTCTGGGAGCTTCGGGCTGTTTTTCTGAGTGCGCTTGCTTGCTTTTGCTTATTGGCTCATACCTATCAGGGGGCCCTGTATGAACTGAGTATAACTGTTTGGGTTCCCGCCTAACCCCCCATTCCTGGCACAGATTGTGTTGAATGATGACCTGAGTACCTTCCTCAATAAACTGAACCTTAATAAAGGAATGTTGTTCAGTCTGAGTGACTTGGGACTCTGACAGCAGGTTGCAGAAAATGGAATGGATTCTGCAGTCCACTGTAACATGTGCATACTCCATGACGTCCAGCATGACAATTATTGGTGTAAACATTGGTTTCTAATTTCATTTGTGGGCTCAGCAACATCCTAGTACATCCTGAGAACATCCCTTTGATGCACTAGGCCAACTCTTTTGCATGGTCTAATTCATAAATGAAAATACCATATTTTTAATCACCAGATGTTATTTTTGGAATAGGCTGAGCAGTTTGTAGCACAGAGGATTGTGACTTGATTCCAAAACTGATTCTGCCTGACTCTCTGTAGGGGTCCTGGCCTGGACGCTGGCTGATGCCATTTGATGGAGTGATTAGCAGAAGTAATATATGAGAGGCCAACCTTGACAAGACTATCATCTCTCACGTTGCTAAAAACATGTTGTGGCTATGTGAACTCGTGTCGTGCTTTCTCCCAATTCAGATTTCTTGTATATTCCATGTCTTCTGCAGCACATCCACAGAGCATTGGCCTGATTGCTGGAGCTGCAGCTGCAGGAGCAGTGGTACTTGTGATCTGCATTGTTCTGGTGGCTGTGACACTCTTTTACTGGAAAAACAAACACAAGGAGGAAGAGGAGGAGGAAATTCCCAATGAGATAAGGTTTGGCCTCTAAGGCTTCTCTAAGCCATCTCTCTCTCTCTCTCTCCCTGCCCCATCTCTTCCTCTCTCTCTCTCTCTCTCTGTCTCTCTCACCACCTAATAGCAAGTATGTCACAAAACTATAGGTCAAAATAGGCAGGAGTTCCGTAGCACTTTAAAGACTAACAGAATTTTATTCCAGCCTAATCCACCATGGACTAGAGCCCATTTCTTCTGATGCAGTGAGTGGATTCTCTCAATGCATCTGAATAAGCATGCTTTAGTCCACAAATGCTTATGCCAGAATACAGTTCTGTTAGTATTTAAGGTGTCACATAAATACAGGGGTTTTTTTTGCTTCAACATACTAACAGGGCTCCCTCTCTGAAACAAAAATTTGGGCGGCAAGGGAAGGGCGGTGGCTCAGGCCACTTGCAAGAGTTCCCCACCACCTTTCAGAAGTTTCCCCCCCTCCTTTTAGCCAAGCAAACTGTGTGGGAGGGATTTCTCTTTCCTGTAGTCAGATCCCAGCTGGCTTCCTCTTGCATTGCACTGAGCTATGTTTTCCAAGGGGAGGTCCTCTTTCCCAAGAAGAATTAGATTTCCACGTGCAAGCAGCTCCTACCTGATTCGTACATTAGTTAGTTATTAGTTGCTATAGATTTTCCGGGTTGTGTGGCTGTGGTCTTGGCATTGTGGAACCTGACGTTTTGCCAGTAGCTGTGACTGGCCTCCTCAGAGGTATAACACAGAAAGATGGAGTACTCTCTGTGTCAAGGTGAGAAGAAAAATGGTAGGCAGGTAATTTATATCTACTACCATGCAGTTGTGGACATGCTTACATCGGGACCACACAGCGTAGCATTCAGACAAGAATAAAAGAACATGAAAGAAACTGCAGACTTGGCCAACCTGAAAAATCAGCAGTGGCTGAACATAGCCTAACTCAAACAGGACACGGTATTTTGTTCCAATACACTTAAAGGCTGGACAACACTTCCAATTACCATGTCAGATTATGCAGGGAAGCCATAAAAATTCATAAACATAAACACAATTTCAACAGGAAAGAAGAGAGTTTAAAAATAAATAGGGCATGGTTTCCTGTCCTGAAAAACACAAAAGGCTCTACATCTGACAATAGCACTACAGATAAGATTAGAATTTTTTTTTTATAAAGTTTTTTTATTGAAGTATAACAAATAGAATTTCAACAGCCAATCCACATACAAAAGAACCTCCTCAGAAAACATGAAACCTCCTCAGGAAACAATCCATATACAAAAGAACCTCCTCAGGAAAGCTCCTCCATTAGCATGTTCATAGCCTAGGAAACTCCTACAAGATAATGACTCAGCCCTATCCCACCTTCTGGAGTAGATATAAATTATCTGCCTGCCATTTTTCTTCTCACCTTGACACAGAGAGTACTCCATCTTTCTGTGTTATACCTCTGAGGAGGCCAGTCACAGCTACTGGCGAAACGTCAGGTTCTACAATGCCAAGACCACGGCCACAGAACCCAGAAAATCTACAGCAACTAATGAACTCCAGCCGTGAAAGCCTTCAACAACATATTAGTTAGGGAAAACGGATTAGGATCTACACCCATCGAGATCCTGTTTGCAGCCACTACCATCCTAATCCCTTGTAGAGACAGAACAGGGAGCCATGCCTATTGGACAGACCTCTCAGTTGGGATGAGGTTTATTGAAGGAAACACAGCCCTTGAGGTGTGAGGATCCCAAGCCATGTAAGGCTCTCAATGCTGAAACCATCAGCCTGAATTAACTCCAGAAGAAAATTGGTAACCAGTATAGTTTGGATCCTGCAACCCATAAGCACAGGGATTGGGGGCTCTTCCCCATGTTCCTCTCCCTGCAGCAGCCTTTTACCATCCTGGGGTAGTGGATTCCTGTGGTCACAGGACCTGCATGGATGCACTAATAATCAAGTGGGAGGCTGCAGGTGGGATGGGTGAAGCCGCCCTCTCCTCCCTCTTCCAGGGAAGGCAGTGTGGTGTAGTAGTTAAGACTGGCCCTCCCCACTTCCTTAAAACACTTGGTAGGTGCCAGAAAAAGTGTCAGCAGACACCATGGTACCCATGGGCACCACACTGAGGACAGGCAAACTCACCTTTTTTGTAAGCCACTTTGGGTCCTCATTGGAAAGAAAAGTGGGATATAAATATCTAAAAGAATATAAATCCCTTCCTTCTGACGTCATCAGGAGTGGGATGGGATGGAAGCAGCCTTTGTTGTGTTCTCACCAATCTTAGCCATGGCGGCATGATGGTAGTACGTGGGGACACTGAATAGGGACTTGTGTCAAACAAGACAGTGACATCATTGGGCCAAGAGGATTGGATTATCATTGCTTTCTGCATTTCTCCTTGAACTCTACCAGGGGTGTGTTCTCTACCAGGGGTGTGTTCATGAACATACTGAGGAGAAGGGTATTGAGAAAGGGGCACAACTTCAGACCTAATCATCTCCTCTGGCTTCTTTCAGGGAGGATGATCTGCCACCCAAATGCTCTTCATCCACCAAAGCGTTCCATGGTGATGCCTCCTCCTCAGAGAATGACACCCTCACCTCATCCAACACCTACAACAGCCGGTACTGGAACGACCCCAAAACCAACCATGCCACGGACTCCTTCACTCGCCTCAACAATGACACACGCCAGTCCTTCTCCCGCTCTGGGAGCACCAACGCCCGCCCCATCTATGCCAACGGAGGCCACCCGACCCCACCTCCACCCAAGACATTGGTGGTGACAACCAACACCGCCCCCTCTCCTCAGGAGATGTCCAGGAGCAATGGCTCAGTGAGCCGGAAGCCAAGACCCCAGCACACACGCTCCTATGCCGTGAGCCAGGCAACGCTGGAGAGGATAGGGGCCGTGCCTGTCATGGTTCCTGCTCAGAGCCGAGCAGGCTCTTTGGTGTAGGCGTGGCTCTAAGGAAAATGAGGACCTGTTGCACTGAGTGGGGTGGGGTGAAGACCTGATCCAAACAAGAGACTCTCCTCTTCCTGCCCGAAACGCGTTGAAGGAGAAGATCAAACCTCTCCTCTGTACTCTCTTGCACCCCCTATCAAGAATATCCCACTGGTGTGGTGGTCCCCCCCTTGCTACCCCACCCTCATGATCTCAGGGGGCTCCTCAGCTATAGCTGGATGTGCCAAGGCCAGGGGGAAAGGGGGCAACTCGACACATCATAGGGGGATGACGCCACGCTTGCTTGCCAAGCTCTGCCTAGTGGGAAGTCAGGAAGGTGGCCACAAGGATGGTGGGTGAGGTGAGGCAGGGTTTGCGGAGCCTTCTGGTCGATGGGTGAGCCTTCAGAGGAGAGGACTCAATAGCTTCACCTTAGCATGTCTACTAGTGGGCTCCAAGCAGATGCTTAAATGGGAGCAAGGGGTGAGATGCTGGTCCAGAAGAACAAGGCAGAGAGATAATCACAAATCAGGCCAAGCGAGAAGAGGATTGGGAGTGTGTGTGGGGGAATGGCTGGAGAATTATGTTCATGTCTTTATTTCTTCTTTTGGTCTCCCTCCCCCTCTCTTTGCTTCCCCAATTGGATGTTCTCCCTGCACTAGTTTTTTGGATGCTTTCTTGCACCCTTCGTCACCACCATGGAAACTGTTGTCACCCCAGCTTTGTCGTCCCCCCCCCCCGTCGCTGCCCTTGATGAGCTGCTTGGCGCCAGAACATACCACTGCTGTTGCTGCTGTTGCTAAGAGGAGGAGTTTGAGGAATGATGCCGGATGGATAGCTGAAGCCTCCCTTGCTTAAATGGGCTGCTGTGTTTCCCCAGACATGTGGCTTCCCTTTCCCCAGAGCTGGGCTTTGACGCTTAGGCCTTTTGCATGGCAGGGTCTCCCTACAGGGCTGATGGGGCTGGCCAGGCTTGTGAGGAACGTTCACAAGGAGGCGTCACATTGAACCTTCCCTCTTTTGGGCTTCTTTGTAGTACTGGGGGGAGGGGAAAAGAGCGAGCAAGGAGCAGCCCAGGGATGGCTCATGGCTGCATTGGCCCCCTTATTCTTCCCCCGCTGACCCCTTGCGGCCTGGTCAGCTCCAAGTGGCAGGCCGGCGCAAGGCCCGATCGCCGTCACATCTCACCTGCCCATGCAGCTTGACAGGTTCCAACTCTTGCAATTTAACTAGCCTTAATCAAAGTGGATTGTTTAGAAACCGATGAGGGTCTTTCATGCCCCAGAAGGGGATTCAGAGCCGGGGGCCGTTTCCTAATACCTCGAGGAGGCAGAGCCAAGGGACACCTCATGGAGTCCCGCCATCCACACCTGCCTCATTTGTAATGCTGACACACTGATCTCCTTAAAGGGAAAATGCTCCCCTCAAAAGCACTGAAGAGGCTTTCCTTCTGCACTGACAACAGACATCTTTCCGATCTAACCCCGGCACTATGAAAGAGACAGCTTGTTCCACAGGCTCCTCTCCACCTTCCGACATGCACTGGAAATGGGGTTCCTAAAGATCAGCCACAAGCGCTCTCCCGCTTCCACTCTGCCTCACCCCAACTTTCCTTTTCTTCCAAATGGGCAGGGAGGCCATCAGGGGAGAGCGGCCTGCTTGGGCCTTCCCTTAGTAGCCCTCCCCAGAGAGAGCCCCTTGGGTTGCACTGGGTTTGAAGCTGAGCTGAGATTCTGTGCCTTCTTTGCTTTTGGAAAAAAAAAAGGATTCTCCCTTTCTCCACACACACACACACACACATACACAAACACACAGAGTCCCTCCTCCCTCACGTAGGACACACACAACTTGCTTCATCGACTTCTGAGCACACCAGGCAGACAGATGGCTGCCGACTTTATACATGTTTCCCAGGGAGCAATCTCTCTCCTCATGTGCTCACTGCCGGTTTCTCCGTTCAGTTAGTTGGAGGTTGGGGGGCGGGGTGGGGGGGAGAGTGGTTTTCAAAACTGTAACATGAAAATAGAGAACAAGGTAACTCTCTCTCTCTCTCTCTCTCTGTCGGTTTTTATAACAACAAGAAACGTAAAAGACGTTTTCAAGGGATGCTGCCTATAGCAGTCCTACACTCCAGTGCTCAGAAAGCTCTTTTTGGGTTCTACTGTTCATGAGACGGTCTCCTCCTCTTTCTTTGTTCTTTCTAATTGTCTAAACAAATTCAATAAAAAGACTTATTCGTATAAAAGGGGAACCAGTTTGTCCGCCGTTTTGTTACTGGTTTGCCATGTGTCCCCTGGCTTTCTCAAAGGGCTTAGGGATAACATATGTGGTCCGAGTAGAAGGCAGGGGGTGGGAAGGTGGGGCATTTGCTGGGTTCCGGGACCGGGAAAGGACCCACAGCTCCCAAAGAGTCACACTTCATACTTTGCACAGAGCGGCACTCAGGAACTGGAGAGCCAGTGGGGTGTATTGGCTAGACCAGGACTCTGGGCATTGAGTCTAAATCCTAACTCAGCCATAGAGCTTGTTGGCTGACTTTGGGCCAATTGCTTGCTCTCAGACTCACCGACCTCTCAGGGCTGATGTAACAATAAAATGCAGAATAAAAGAACAAAAAACAAAACGCATGGTCAAGACCATGGCCGCGACCTGCACTTCTTGGAGGAAAGGTGGTCAGTGATATCATGAGAGCATCCTTGGTTTGCAGTCCCTACGTTTTCCAGATTTTTGCTGTTCAGTCGCACAGTCGAGTCCAACTCTTTGTAACCCCTTATGTTTCTTAGTAGAGATGCTTCTGAAATTCCCTACATTCACATTTTCCCCTTGGATTTGTAGTTCCAACTTGTCTTCTCTTTCTTCTAGAGCCAAGCTGCATTAGGGATCCTCTGTTCTGTTTGTTATTTCTAAAAGTCATACAAAGCTCTCTGCGTCCAGTTTGCCACAACTTTCAATCCTTTCCATTCATTTTGGCCTCCCCTTTCCTACATTAGCATTGGACATGGGTGCATTGACAAACACAGCAGACAAGCAGTAATGACATTCCTGTGTATATGACTGCATCATGATGCGTCTTGTGTGTTTTATCGATGGGTATGTGTAGTTGTGGGTTTTGCTGAATGCTGCAGCAAAAAGAAAATTTTGATGTAATGCTAGGATCGTTTCTTTCAGCTTTCTTTTGGTGTGCCGTTTTGGTGTAGTGGTTTGGTGTAGTGGTTAAGTGTGTGGACTCTAATCTGGGAGAATTGGGTTTGATTCCCCACTCCTCCACTTGCACCTGCTGATGTGACCTTGGGTCAGTCACAAGCTCTGGCACAGCTGTTCCTGAAAGAGCAGTTTGTGTCAAGAGTTCTCTCAGCCCCACCCACCTCACAGGGTGTCTCTTGTGGGGAGGGGAAGGGAAAGGAGTTTGTAAGCCTCTCTGAGACTCCAAGTGAAGGGCGAGGTATAAATCCAATCTCCTCCTCCTCCTCCTCTTCCTCCTCTATCAATGCACAGCAGCACAGCAGCAAAACATACAAATCTTGATGTCATCTGCTGCACTTCAAAATCTTGATGCCTTGGTTAAGATCACTTTTTTTAGTGCAGCATTTTATCAATGTGTATGTGAACATCAATGATGTACATGGGGGGCGGGGGGCTGCAAGTTAAGTGATGGAACTGTCAACCATGCCAAACTGAGCATAATCCTTCTAATTCCAGCATTAATTTCCCAAAATTTCCAAATTATTTGGGAAGTGGAATAAAGGCAAGACTGAATCTAAAGGCCAGAGCAGGCAAAATCCTCTCCTCAGTATTTCTCAGGGAATCACTGAGGGACAGAATGTAGGGGTGCAATCATTGCATGCATCTTTGGACCACTCTTGGTCTGCACTGTTACTCAGCATTCAGTAGTCGGTGAAAGTGTCTGAAGACTGATCTGCCAGGCTTAGGAACAATTTGTGGTTAGACCATCTCTATGGTGCTGAGTTTTGCAGACATTTGTTGCTAAAGAATTGTAGGTTATGTTTGCCCCCTCATAACAACAACAGGGTGAAGACATAATTACAGTCAGATTATTGTTCTGGAAAGCTGTGGGGGAAATAGAAAATAATAACATTTTGCAGGTTAAACTCCCTGTGCTCTTTAATATCCCCAGGAAGGTAGTTTTGCATGGTGGTGTTACCATTTGTTACTGGCTATTCCATCTCTTAATAATGTGTAGCATAGGACAAAGGGTCCAAAAACAATTGCTCTGATAGCTGTAGCCAGCATGGGCCAAAGTCCAGGGTTCAGACTGAAGCCCAGGAAAACCACAGACTATATCCAATAAGGTTTATTCAAGGTCTGTGCAGAGGCACACAATATAAGATCAATGAGCAGCAGGGATAAAATAATAAAAGCTAAGTATCTAACCTTAGTATCTTTACAAGCATTGATTCTCTAAGTCCACATGTTCCCTGACCAGACTTAATCCAAACAAAGTTTTAAAGTCCAAAGTCCAAGGCAGGTGCTCCACTCAGCAAAACCCACCTGGTCTAGAATCAAGATGTGACCCAAAGGCAGATGTGCTCCAGACAAAGGGCCCAAACCAGAATGAAAGATCTTCCTTTATGCCAAACAACCCGTGTTGGCATGATTCTAGTTGACCAATCAAATGTGTTGCTAAGCAGGTGACCATAGCCAATCAACTATGTTGCTAACAGGGCTCCAACTGCTAACTAATCAATTGTGTTGCCAGCATGAGACCATGAACTCTTCAGCCATACAGGGATTAATTAAGCAAGGCACCATCTCCAACTCGTGGATCCTTGTCCTAATGAGATGGAATGGATAGGCGAAATTCCTCCTTGGGCTCTTGGCCTTGACACGGTCCAGTGACTTCATCGGCACCTGTGTCAGCTCCCTTATTCCCTTATCTTGCACTCTGAACATGCTGTCCACACGACTTTGAATTCTCAGAGGGAGAAGCTGGTGTGATTTTTGCAGGCGTCAAGCCTGAGCCAGTGTTTCTGAAAAAACCAGGGACTGCTAGGCAGCTCAGTCTCTTGACATACTGTTCATATAAATGCGATGGCCTGTATCCTATCACTCTGCTAAGTAATGTGTGAAGCTTTCTTCCAGCCTGAGGCAGGATATCCCTCCATATATATTGTGTGAAAATGCACCAGTCTGTATAGAAGAAACGACTGAATCCTCATTACGCGCAATGAAAGTGTATGGATCAAAGGCTGTTCAGAACAACACAGAGAAACCATGAAAAGCGGGTATGTTCAGCAATCCCTCATTCTGTCTCTCGGACACATCTCATAGCAGTGGAGGCAGGCTCCATGGAGATTGCATAAAGACCCCTGCGGCCAAATAGTCTGACTGTTGGGACAACTCTAGATTGCAAGCTCCTTAGCAAATTCCCAGGCAGCGTGCTTCATCACGGTAGGGAGAGAACCCGAGAGAGCAGCTCCAGCTTCTTGGCCACTGGCTGTATCTGTTCTGCCTGAGGCAGGAGGAAGAAAATGAAAATGACTGCGTTAACACTGATGTGGGGATCAGAAACATAAAATGCCAGCCTTCCTCCAAGCACTGTACGCGCATCTGCTTCTGATGGCCAGCAACAGGTACAGGAAGGGATCCTTGCAAGAAGGGAATAGTGGGGCTGTTTCCCTGATGTAAGCTACAGCCAGCTATTCCCCAGGCAAGACATAATGAGAAGTCTCAGAGTTTCTGAGTGGACAGAGCCAGGAGAGCTACTATTCAAAGGGGGGGGATCACAAGTGCACAGCGTATAGGGGGAGGGAAGGTGGCATGGCGTAGCCTGCTCTCCTCAGATCCTGGAAACTTAGCAGGGCTAGTACTTGGACAGGGGACCACCAAGGAAGCCCATGTGGAGGAAGGCACTGGAAAACCACCTCTGTTTCTCACTTACCTGGGAAACTTCTTGCTGGGGTCACCAGAAGTTGATTGTGAGTTGATGGCACACATGTACATACTGCTTATAGGGAGTCCATATCTTAACCCCATCTTTATCCGATTTGGAGAAAAGAGGTTACATTTTTTTTTTACAGAATAGCTGAAAGCAGATAGTTAGAAAGACCTTGCATCTCTTGTGCCTGTAAGAAGTTCAAAAGTCTGCAAAGAGCTCACTTCAGTGACTTTTTAAAATGACGGAGATTGAACTCATTTGGATCACTTTGTTTATATTAAATAAAGGCTACTGCTTGATCTGAGCATGGTAAGGGGAACGGCGACTTGCAGGCCCTGATTCCCAGCTCCTGGAAACCTCATTCAGCAATCTCTCTGGCTTGGGAGGCCTTCTTCATCAGGCATTACTTCATCCTCCCTATAAACTTACAATATGCTTATTTAGGGGCTCAAAATCTAGTTATTTTTTAAAAGAGTGCTGAGATTCTTAGGAAGCCACTGCCTTCATTTAATATCATAGTCTGTATTTGCACAGAATGACTGAATGCATGCAGCTTTGATACTATGCCACAATATTTGCTAACTATGCTGTTACAGGGTGGTTCTCCTTGGGTTTTTGACATCTATACTCATTGAATCTGAGGAAGTGATTTCCTTCCTTCCTTCCTTCCTTCCTTCCTTCCTTCCTTCCTTCCTTCCTTCCTTCCTTCCTTCCTTCCTTCCTTCCTTCCTTCCTTCCTTC